TATCAATACTAAGCCAGTATGTGGCTAACTTTTAACTTTTAATTTGCAGACGAGGAGATTATGACATTAAGTATAAATAAACCCATCGTGGTATGTTGTTTGCTCAATGGATCACCATCAAAAATATCACTGATCCTTTCACTGCTTCTTAGTTTTGAAATTTAAAGTTAGCTTGATTTGAACTTGAGACCCAAACACATGGAGGTCAAGAAGGTGAACGCTGAACCATAAGTCCTCGAGCCAGGACTTACAACCCTGTCACTAGACTTTAGGCCCCAATGAGATTCACTAAAGAGTTTTTTAATGCAAAAAGATAATGTCTTGTTATGGAGAACAAATGCTGATAGGTGGAAAATAACGGTCATTAAAGAAGAACTGAGAGAATAGGTGCAGAGAGAAGTTTGAAGAAAGTGCTGAGCCCGGTGACAACTTTCTCTGCAGCTGTCATCCATCACAGGAAGTAAAGAATACAGGGGCTCTCACACAGGATACAGGGCGACCTTGTTTGTCCGTTGCTAAAAGCTTCTCCCCTCGGCTTCTGCGTCCCCCTGCCAACATATTACAATTATCTCTACAAGCATGTTTTTAACCTTGTGGGCCTAGTGCCTGATTTATACCGACAGTTACAACAGAATAATCAGCGCCGCAACATTTGGCAACTATGATGCCAAACATATAAATTGATTAGTTGGTGGAAAAATGCTGAGGCAAACAGCGGACTACTTTATCAGCGACCTTTTCCACGTCTCTGTCTGACATCGAGAATATCAGCCAAAGGAGCTGGATGTCACCTGATCCACGTTGGCAGTTACAGCCTCTGCTGTGGTAATAAAGGGAAACAAGCTCACACCTGGTATAAATCTTTCCTCTCCTACACTCGTTTCATTCACACGTGTTTATTCCTCAGCGCCAACGTGCAATTATTCCATAAAGATTCTGCATCAGGCGTCGTTCTGCTGCCTTATCAAAGACAGTGAAGCTGCACAGACGGATAAAAAAAAAAATTGAAATTAGTAAATAAAATATGACATTCCATTTCCTCTGGATCAGCAAGGATTTCAGTTCAGGCTCCAAAAATGATTTTATTTATCAGCTCATAAATGTTACATTCTCCTTGACTAAGTCTTTGTTTTTTTCACTTCCGCAAGTCTGGCACTGAGACTGAGATGGTGTTGCCAGATCAGTCAACCAGTCAATCAACGGATGGAGACACTGTTTAATACATATATAGTGTACATATATACATACATATATATATACTGGAGTACTTTTCTTGTCTTTTTCATAGAGTACAAATATAAGAACTTTTATTTTTAAGCAAATTCACAGAAAAACAATAGTTGCTTATAAAAACCTAGACCTGTCATTCAGAAAACCAACTCATTTCTCATACATTTTTCCCCTGTTGTGATTCATACAGAGCTCCCTGCCATTTCTGCATCCGAAGCCATTTCACATGTGCAATTCAAAGGTTATTATTATAGGACATGTTTTATTCATGCTGTGTGCTCTAAAGTATTAATCTATGAAAATGCAAATACAAACAGTCAGAAGTATCCACTCTGAGGAGATACCTCTCCTGGATTCAAAGAGAAGAGATGAATAAAAGTCACATTAAAAACATAGTGATTTGAAAGCCGATATTTTTTGTTATTTATCACAGCGGGCAAAGA